TGATGTACATTCCAGTGTCCTTAATCACCAGAAATGATTAAGCAGGGCAGATAATAATATACATTTATATATGTAAATAAGTTCATAATGTCTGTTTAAACACTTTCCTGTGATTATTTTCATGTAGGCTTGAAATAAAATATCTCCCTCCGCTGTTACTGCAACTTACTGCAAGTCCTGCATGCGTGTCCTTATCATACTTCGGAGATATCAGATGAAGATGATTCAAATTTTTGCGGGGACTTAAGGACATTTACATTTTTTATATAATAGAGAATTATGAATATAATATGTACCTTCACACGATGTTTATGGCAAGTCGCTGTAAAAAAAACTGCAGCACTTTGTGAAGGATGGATACATTTGGGCTGGGTTTATTCACATTTACAATAACAGGAAATGTTTACTGTTGGTGATTTTTGTAATATAATGATGTTGCCAATCAAACTACTATCCTATAGTTACCAATTGCTGTACACTTACTTACTCTTCCTTACTGCCCACTTAATTTCACTTCCTGTGGAAGGTTTTTGCTATGCTCTGAAGGCAAAAACCAGCCTCATGTGCCTCTAACTGAAGGTGTTTCTGTGTTACCAAAAAGTTTACTCCAAACATGTGCCAGTATGTGCCACTATAGCGTCTTCAGCATGACAAGAAAACATCCTTTTATCCATCTAAAACTTTCAAAAACAATGACGTGCTGCTTTCTGTATGTGTGACTTCAACTTTAAACAATGTGTGATTAAATGTTTCCTCTAGAGAAAAATCTGACTAATCACAGTTGAAAGGTGAAATAAAAACATGAGATGATGGCATTAGCCTGTGGGTTAACCTCTTAATATGTTGCCTTTATGTAACCAAGGTAACATCTGACCCCACTTCCGGAAATCCCTTCATTGTGGTGGGAATGAACTCTGTATAACTTCCGGGTCAATCTGCTGCACCTCCCCTGCTACATGTCATCCCAGAATGCATTGTGTGCATTGTGTCACTTAACCACTGCCTAGGCATGCTGTAAAATGATTCAAATTAATAAATTATTCTTAGTTTTATGTAAGGGGATGTTCTAACACTTCTAAAATATGTTACAACCCACCCCACCTCTTTATTAGTCCTTTATTTATCCAGGTAAAATCTCATTTCCAAGAGGGACCTGGCATCATGGCAACAAAAGTCACATACCACATAGGTATATAACATTTAAAACAAATACAATATCCCATACCAACATGTGTAAAATATACAATAACAGATCAAATTAAGAGTACATTAAAAACAATCACACTGAGTAAAAGAGCAGGGGCAGCATATTTAAAAGCCTTTTCCCCCAATTCTTTTCTGATTTTTGGGACAATCAATTGTCTGATATTGTGCGAACGACGGCTGTATTGGTTGTGGTTTTTACACATATACACACATAAATAAGATGGAACCAGCCCAAGGAGAGATTTATAGATAAAGATCAACCAATGGGAGAGTCTGCGAATATGCAAAGATGGACATTTAGCAGCAGCATACAAAGAACAATGATGTACATGATTTCCATAGCCAGTAATAAAACGTAAAGCACAATGGTACACAGTATCCAGCCTCTTTAGGTAGTGGGCAGGTGCATTCATAAAAAGCAGGTCACCATAATCCAATAAAGGTAAAAAGGTTGCACGAATCAAATGTTTTCTCACTTGGAGGGAGAAACAGGATTGGTTTCTAAAAAAGTAACCTAATTTTAGATTTAACTTCGACACAAGCCTTTGAATGTGAGTCTTAAATGACAAATTCTGATCTACAGTGGGGCAAAAAAGTATTTAGTCAGCCACCGATTGTGCAAGTTCCCCCACTTAAAATGATGACAGAGGTCAGTAATTTGCA